TACTGTGATTTTCTATAACAATTAGAAAAATAGTCTAAAAAAAAATTACCAAACACACATATATCTAAAGTATTATATGGTTACATGAAAAAACTTTTAAGCGCAACCTTAAGCGCACCCTAAATCATTAGAAAAAATCCCTCAAATCCCCTCGTAAACTCAATCTAGTACTATTCAATATCTTTCCCTCAACAAACTTTCTCATAAGCCAAATGCAACTCAAACAAAAAAAGGCAAAAATTTTCTTTGCAAATTTTTTTAGCAATGCAAATTGTCAAGGATATAATTAATCATATATAAATTTTGGTTTAATAATAACTATACTTCAAACATTCAAATACTTCTCTATATACAATATTTTTTATATAATTTGATTCTAAACCTTCTAAAACACACTACAAGAAAATAGACATTTTGTGATGGTAAATTTACTTCGTGACCGAAAATATAAAGTTTTGTGCCAATTCTCCATCACAAAATGTCCACTTTCTTGTAGTGACATCACTATTATCAATTAATATCTTTAACTTGAATTTGTAATAACAATGGATCCACCCACATCAACTACCTTATATGTTAATCTTTAATCAATTACATCTTCTCAGATTTAGCTGGTAGTAAACCACATCTTTTGCATCCACTACTTTCATGAAATGATAATTTATGTGAACACTTTTACAGGCCAAATAAAATTGCCCGTTATCAACTTGAAAACCAATAACCATAACCTCCAGGTTGAACGTTTTCTCATCCTACTTTGCAAAATCATTTTTTAAAAATTATAATCTCACATCAATTATTTTATTCAATAAAGATAAATAATAATATAGAATATAACATATGATCCATACTTAGAATTTTCGTGAAGTTAACGTCAAAATCTCGGAAATTGTTCTTGGTTTAGGTGGAGGAAGCTTAGGGACCAACACTTCACTTTGCTTGTTACTTGTCAAGAGCGTAGGTAGAAGATTCAATGGAGCATACTTACATTAAAAAATTTTCAAAAAATATATCCAAGTAATCCAAGAACTTAAAATAGTGCAATTTAATATTAATCATCTTTCCATCAATTGCCAAGACACTAGTTGTGTTATTGAATCTTATTTTCACTTATCTAGCCATTAGTTGAAAATTTGATTCAATAATGCAACTAAAATTGGTTATTGCATATACATGTCCCTCATGCAATAATGGTTGGAAAGTTGGTGTTAGTGTTTGTTCAATAACAATTTGAATTGTGTCACACCTTAAGACAAAATAAATAGCAATTAAATATTTATTTTTTTAAATTAAAAAAGTATAAAGTACGCTTACATTGGTATCAGTATTGACCAGTTAATTCACCCCTTCTTGGAGCAACTACATTCCATATACAATGGAAACACAATACGATCTTAGGATAAAATCATCCCTTAATCAATTTATTGATGATTTGAGAATTAGATTCCATTGCAAACCAATAAACAGTCCAAAAGAAAAATAAAGGTAAACAAAATAGGGTGGAATAGGAATGGGGAACAAATTATATATATATAAGATTAGTACGTATTAATCTCGGCTCTCAAAAATAATTGGAGTCTTAATCTATATCTAAAAATTGAAATCTCATTCAATTAAATGTTGATATTTAAATTTGAAAATCCATTATATATTTTAATATATCAACATTTAATAAAATAATTTTTTAAATTTTGAATTAAGTTTTAATTAAATAAAACGATATAATTTAAAGTTAAAATTTTAATTATTTTTAAGAATCAAAATT